AGAGAAGAAAGGTCACCAAATGCCCCCCAGCCGGCCGGGGAGAAGCCAAGCCTTGCAGAAGCCCCCACCGTTCCGGCCTGCTCTCCTCTCCCGAGCTGACCCCCGTAAGGCAGATCCTTTAAAGCAGGGGGTCTCCAAACTCGGCCCTTTGATGACTTGTGGACTTCAACTCCCAGAATTCCTCAAACGGTCCTAAGTCACTTTTTTTCAGGGCTGTTGTAACTTTGAACGGTCACTAAATGAACTGCTGTAAGTTGAGGGCCATTGGTATTCCCTCCTTTCACTTTTTCACGCTGCCAATCTTTGCAGCAGCCATCCTGGTTCAACCATGTACAGGTATACATCCGAATATGTTATTTCTCTGTCATAGAATATATGTGGGTATGGGGGTGTACGCAATTTTTCTGTTATATTTATGTAGTGTATATTGGAGGGAGTGACCGTATGAGAGCTGTATGCAATGAATTTTCATTTTAATGTATGCCGATTAGTGTACATTTAAAGTGACAATAAAGTTAATTCTATTTTATTCTGTAATTCTATTCTCATTCTCTTCTATATTCTCTTCTAGTCTATCTCCTATTCTATTCTATATTCTATTCTATTCTATTCTACATTCTATTCTATTCTATATTTTATTTTATTCTATTCTATTCTATTCTATATTCTATTCTATTCTATTCTGTAATTCTATTCTCATTCTATTCTATATTCTCTTCTATTCTCTTCTATGTCCTATTCTATTCTATTCTATATTCTATTCTATTCTATATTCTATTCTATTCTATATTCTATTCTATTCTATCATTCTATTCTATATTCTTTTCTATTCTATGTCCTATTCTATTCCATTCTATATTCTATTCTATTCTATTCTATATTTTACTCTATTCTACTCTATTCTATATTTTATTCTATATTCTATTCTATTCTATATTCTATTCTATATTCTATTATATTCTACTCTATTCTATTCTATTCTATTCCATTCCATTCCATCCCATCCCATCTCATCCTTATTCTATTCTATTCCATATTTTCTATTCTATTCTGTATTCTATTCTATTCTATTCTATTCTATTCTATTCTATTCTATTCTATTCTATTCTATTCTATTCCATCTCTATTCTATTCTATTCTATTCTATTCTATTCTATTCTAATTCCAATTCCAATTCCAATTCCAACTCCATTCCCTGACCCATTCCCTCCCCATATGAGCAGCTTCAGGAGAAGGAAGGGAGTTCTTACGGAAAACAGGGCTGCCCTCCTGCTGCTGGACAGTGACCAAGACGGAAACTTCATGGCTGGCAGCATCGGAGCTGACCCGGCAAACGTACTCTCCAGAGTCGGCGGGAGAGACCTTGACCAGCCGCAGGCGAGTTCCCAAGGCCTAAAAGAGGGTGGCATCCTTGTCAGCATCCCCTTAAACCATCCTAGCTCTGCTGGCTATGAACTTCATCCAGTATGGATTTATAGATTTTACATGGGTGGGGGAGAAACAACGATTCTAAAACCCTTAAATAAAATAATGAAAACAAGGCCCTTCTTTTGTATTGGGAGCGAGGAGAGGTTTCCAAATCCTTTGTTGAAAAAAACCCCAGTTATTTAAATAGCAACCGTCCCAACCCCTTTGCAGAATTGCCCGCCATTAGAATAGAATAACAGAGTTGGAAGGGACCTTGGAGGTCTTCTAGTCCAGCCCCCTGCTCAGGCAGAAAACCCTACACTATTCCAGACAAGTGACTGTCCAGTCTCTTCTTAAAAACTTCCACTGTTGGAGCACCCACAACTTCTGGTGGCAAGCTGTTCCACAGGTTAATTGTTCTAACAACTGTCAGGAAGTTTCTCCTTAGTTCTAGGTTGCTTCTCTCCTTGATGAGTTTCCACCCGTTGCTTCTTCTCCTGCCTTCAGGGGCTTTGGAGAAGAGCTTGACTCCCTCTTCTTTGGGGCAGCCCCTGAGATACTGGAACATGGCTATCATGTCCCCCCTCGTCCTTCTCTTCATTAGACTTTGGAGCCATATCCTCCCTGCCTCACCAGCTCCTATCTCGGAGGCACACAGAGCTCAGTTGATCCACTAGGCCAGGCCTAGTGAGCCAGACTTTGGATCCATCGATTCCATTTCCCTAGCAGCAGCTCTGGGCTTCAAAGTCCAAAGAGCGTTTTTCCAGCTAGCCAAAGTGCTTTGAAACTGGAATTGTGCCCGAGAGCCAATTTGGGGCGCTCTGCGGGCAAGGGGGTGCCTCTGAGACTGTGGCCCTAGTGGCCCCAAAGTTGTTATCCAGTTGCACTCCTTAGCGCTCAGGGCCGTCATGCCTGTACCTGGTGATGGGCTGGCAGGGCTTCACCCCGTCTGTACCAGGTAACCATGGCTTGCTCCGGGCGGGAAACCACGCAGTCCAGCTCCAGCGTTTGTCCCTCAGCGATGACGGCTGACGAGGCCTCGATCCTCACGGGAGGAGCCACGCCAAAGGCTGGGGAGAGCAGAAGGGTGGTGAGGATCCCGCCAGCCCCCAGCGAACCCTGTCCTCCCCCCCGGCCTTCCTGCCAGGAGCCCCACACCTACTGGAGGAGGAGCGGGCGCGGGAGACGAGGACGGAAGCTTCTCGGGTGAGGGAACCCAGGCTGACACGGCAGACGTATTCCCCAAGGTCAGCCGGGGAGAGCCGGGCGATGCGCAGGTGGGAACCGGAGACCTACGGGTTGAGGGAGAAGAGGGAGTCAGCGCACAGGTGAAAGGAATGTCGTAAACCCCCTCCCAGGGTCTCTGGACCAAGCTGCCCCCGGCCCCGAGGGGCAACCATACCTGGTGGCCGGCTGGCAAGGATCCGCCTCGTTTGTACCAGGTGATGGTAGCGCTGGTTTGGCTGGCCACAACGCAGTTCAAGTCCAAAGCTTCTCCTTGGACGATGGAGGGTGACGAAGGCTCAATCCATAGCGGGGGTCCGACTCCTCCCGAGGCTGCAAGGACAGGAGGGAGGGGCTGCCCATCAGCTGGCAGACATCTCCCCTCCTGCCAGCCCTCCCATACCATACGGAAGCATGCCAACCAAGTCGCAAACCATGTCCCTCCAAATATAACAGTCTTTTGTTTCTAAAAGCTATCCATTCTTTGACCCATGTTAGTACAGATGCTTGATGGTATAAAACCCACTCTGGCAAGCCCAAACCTCCATTTTCCTTGGCTTCTGGTAGCATTTTTTCAATTTAATTCTAGCTTTCTTTCCTTGCCAAATAAATTTCAAAATTAGTGAATTTAAGTCTTCAACAAAAAAAATTCTCTACTTTTTATAGGTACCGTTTGAAATAGAAACAGTATTTTTGGTAATATGTTCATTTTCGTCCTGGCAATTCTTCCCAACATCGAAAAATTGCAGGTTTTTCCATTTTTCCAGGTCCAGTCTTATTTGGCTCGATAATTTTGTATAGTTATATCTTCTTTTATCGTCGAACATCTTGCTGTTAAAATATATTCCCATGTATTTAACCTTTCTAACTATTTGTAGTTCTATTTTTTTCTGACATTTGGGGGTTTTTTTTGCTCATCTGTGAGAGTTTAAACTATCACTTTAGTTTTTTCTCTGTTTATCTTCAGACCTGCTCTTTCTCCATAGTGTTCTATCTTTTCCAATAATTTAGGAATCATCTCTAAATTTTCTTCTAAAATAAAGGCCAAGTCACCTGCAAACGCTTGCAATTTGTAAGTTTCACCTGTTATTTCTAGCCCTCTGATTTTTTTCTTTTTAACTGAAAGTTTTATAAAATTTTACAATATAAATCCCCCCTCCCCCAAACCCACCCCTCCATCCCCCCTCCCTCTCCCCTCACTTCCCAGAGCCCATCACAGGATTAACAATAAAATAATCATAATCTAACTAACGTTAATCAACTATTAAGCTAACAAATCTATAACTTCCTTTAACTCTCTTTTAAAGCAAATATACAATNCAAACCAATATATATCTTTCTTGTGAATAATCCTTCACATAAGCGGAAATCTTGGCCATTTCTGCTAAATTTGAGACTTTAAGTGTCCATTCTTCTATAGTAGGTAAACGTTCCGTTTTCCAAAATTGAGCAATTAGTAATCTTGCAGCAGTTATAAAATTCAACATCAACTCCATTTCTTTTACGTCCAAATCTTCCACAATACCCAACAAAAATATCTGCGGTTTAAACTTTATCTTTTTCTTAAAAATATTTTGAATGTTCCACCATATCTTAATCCAAAATGCTTTAACTTCCCTACATGTCCACCACATATCCCTCTGATTTCTGTTATCTTGTCTAATGTTTCTATTTAAAACTTCCAACGTTAAGATAAATAAATAAATAACAATGGAGACAGTGGGCATCCTTGTCTTGTCCCCCCTTGTCCGTGAACCTGGCTCAAAGGTTCAAACCTTGGCCTGCCTCCTTTGGCCCTTCCCATCCTATGAAACGCGCATGTTCCGGATCCTAAGCTGGGATCTGAGCCTAACTCACTTTGGGAGCTGCTGTGCACGGTGATCACTTTGGAGGCCTCTTGAACCATGCCGCTGTCACCGTCCATCACCCGACACACGTATTCGCCCGAGTCCGCTGCCGTGGCCTTCAGAATCCTCAAATGGAGCCCAGAAATCTGAAGGGAAAAAGGGGGGTCCAGAGATGGGGTGAGGAGCCCCCCCCGCAAAGGGAGGAAGAGGCGTGCGCTCTAGCCAAGGGTCTCCTGCCATTCCCGTACCTTGCGATTAGCCGGGAGGGCCCCTCCCCGCTTGTACCAAGTGACCCTGGGCTGCGAGAGGCCCGTGACCTGGCAGGTGAGGTCCAAAGCCTGACCCTCGGTGATGGACGAGGAGGCAGAGTCGATCCTGACCGGGGACGGCCCTGAAGAAGTCAGAAAACAGGTCAGCTTCTTTTGCCCTCTGGTTCCAAGGCTCGGTTCCCAGGTAAAGGATGCCCCAAACACTGACTTTGTGCCCAGGTGGCGACTCCCGGCTGTCCTCCCCATGCCGAGGTGTGGGGCCTTTGGCCTTACCCTGGGAGATGGTCACCTTGATGGAGGCTTCCTTCGGGCCAGCTCCGTTGCTGACGCGGCAGACGTATTCCCCGGAGTCAGCGGCAGAGACCTCCAAGATTCGCAGGAGGGCCCCATGGATCTAGGGAGGAAGCAGCATTGCGGTCTGCCGTGAGCCTCTCTGGGGTTTTCTAAGTTCTTCTATCCTCAGAGAAGGGATGGAGGAAATGGGTGGAAAGCTCCCCCTTTTCTTTAAGTGTGTAGTGCAGACATGTCAAACACGAGGCCTGGGGGCCGGATGCGGCCCACGAAGTGGTTTCATGTGGCCCATGAAGCCATCCTGGAAACAGTAAGGGAACGGCCCCCGCTGCCTTGGCCCTGGCCCTGGCCCAGGCTGGCCGGGAGCCAATGTACAACTTTGTGGTGGCCATCTATGCTGAAAGGCCTTCAGTCTTAGCTCCACAAGGCCGTCTGGAAACAGTGAGGAACCAGCCCCTGCTGCGTCGGCCCTGCCCCCTGGGTGCATGCTGGGGAGGGGTCCCCCTTTGTGAGGAATGAAGAGATGGACCATGCCTTGGCGCTTGCCCCAGTCCCACCCCCTTCTGCCAGAGACCCTCAGATCTGTCCCACTCCTGCCCAGGCCCCTACAGGCACCCTTGGCGTGAACGATGTAGAGCTGGCCATGCCCACCCAGTAGGCCACACCTACTCCATCCACGCCCACCCAGTAGGCCACACCCACCCTGACCACACCCACCCGGCCCCCTGAGGGCAACCGCAATGCTGATGCGGCCCTCAATGAAATTGAGTTTGACACCCCTGGTGTAGTGTCTGTGTATCGTGCCTCCCCCTCCTCCTTCTGCGTCACGGCTTTTATTTCTGGACTGGGATGCTGGCTTATAACCGGGAGGGAGTCTTAGTCCCGTAACAATCACAGGCTCCTTGTCTGAAAAGCGTCCTGAGAAAAGGTAATATTTTACATTCTTTGCAAAAAAGAGAGAGCGAGAGAAAGACCATTAGAGCCACATGAGATCAAGCGCTCTGAATGGGACGTATTCTTTTCCCTTCCTGATCAAGAGGAAACGCTCGTTGATATTGGCAAGCTTCCCGACTTCCCTCCTTTCTTTGCCCAGAAATGAAAACCAGGAGGCCCCCCCAGAGAAAGGGGGTGCACCCACCCAACACCTATCGGGGCCGCGGGAGCATCCGAACCTGGTGGTTGGCTGGCAGGGCCCCTCCCCGCCGGTACCAGGTGACGGAGGCTGTAGGGTGACCGGCCACCACGCAGTTCAAGTCCAAGGACTGGCCTTCTGTGACCGAAGAAGAGGAAGCTTCGATCTTGACCGTCGGCGAGACGCCGTGTGCTGGACGGGCACAAAGGGCAAAAGAGAAGAGGATGCTGGGAGCAGCCAGAGAAGGAAAGGATTTGGCACCGAGACCCAGGCTGGCTTCGAATAGGCTGCCCTTAAGCCGAACACCTTGTTCAAACCAGCTGCTTGCTCGGTTTGAGACAGAAGCACGCACACTGGGCATCGCAGCTGGAGATTATTCAAGACACACACCCCCCCGCAGAAGAAAGAGGGAGCCTTACCCCGAATGACCACCACTTCAATGCGGGCTCTGCCGACTCCCATCGGGCTGCTGCCCACGCATAGGTACACCCCTCCGTCGGCGGCCGTGATGGAGGGAATCACCAGGGTGGAGATGTCCGTTCTCTCCGAGTGGGACTACGGACAAAAGGGAAACTGTTGGGGGGGACCCTCAAGCAGTGGCTGGACTCCCACCCTCCTGGGCCACACGGGGAAGGGAGTGCCAAGGAGCCCCTGAGGGGATAGAGCTGGGCAGGGCCACCCACGGCATCCGGGAGCCCCGGCACAAGCAAGACAAGAGCAGCAGGCGAGGTGGAAGCCAGAGAAATCTGGGCGGATGGGGGAACACGAGGCAGTTTGAGGGGAGGTGTCAGAATCCAATTATATTTCATTTCTAGTTATCGACTATGGAAAACCCCATTTCTGCCCTCTCTGGATTCTGTCATACTACGAAGGGGAAGGAGGGATGAGCAAAGGGGTTTTATGGCTCTCACTTCCTTCATTAAAATTTCAAAGGGACTGAATTTGGATCTCACCAAGAGGACTGACCATAACAATATGGCCATCACCTTTCATCTACTACTCTCTGAAGTCTCCCTTCTGCCGGTGGAGAGGAAAAGGGGGTGGAAATGTAACGCCTGGGATTGTCGCTGGAAGGACGGTGGGGTGGGAGCTGCTGGGGAACACTTAAAACCTTGAATGGTAGGGATGGGCCCTCATATCCTGTCTAGAACGCCTGCAACCATCTTCTCTTAATAAAGATGCCTGTTGGAAGAGATATTCCAAGAGTTCTGTCTTCTTAAGATGTAAAATGGGGTGGAGACCGAGGAGGAAGACCGAGTAACACGAGGGGCTCATGCAGAGGGATACCTGCTGGAACACCTGTATTCGCTGCCGGACGGCCTCCCGGCTGCCACTTTGGAAGTGGAAGAACCCGGAGACAGGAAGCGCCTGGCCCAGGAGAAGGGGGGTGAGAGGGAGGAGGAGAGAGAGGGGGGGGATAGAGGCCGCGAGAAAGATGAGAAGCACCCCAGAAGGCATCGCAGGGTTAGGGTCTGCTCCTGGCCCAGACCTTCCCTCGGGCAACCTCACCTGGACCCGGAGGTCCGGGAGGGGCTGTCCTCCCTGGGACACCAGGCCTTACCTGTGGAGGCAAGCTGCCGCCCTCTTTCTCCCAGGTGATGGTGGCCGCTGGGGAGCCCGCCGCCCGGCAGTACAGTCTGACGGTGCTGCCTTCCTGCACCTCCGTCCGCTCGGGGCTCACCTGCACTTGGGGGACACTGGTACCTGCCCAGGAGCAAAGGAGCCGTCAGTCCCCCCTCAGTCCCCGCTCTGGATTCAGTCGCAGTTTTGTTCCGTACATTATTAGCCTCGTGAATTCTCAAGCTTCCTCTTTCCGCCATATGTTCAAGATGGACGGTGGTCAATATGTACATGTTATTTATACATAAGGATGTAGGTTTATACATACATTGCATACAGCATGTTTAAATGTGTGTTATGTGTGTGTAGACTTTTGAGGGCAAGCAACAAAATTTCATTTTTAATATGTGCCGGGGTGCCCACAGTAAAAAAATGACAATAAAGGTTGTCTGTCTGTCTGTCTGTCTGTATCTATCCATCCATCCATCCATCCAATCTCTATTTATATCTATCTCTTTCTATCTCTGTCTGTCTGTCTATCTATCTAATACATCTATCTATCTATCTATCTATCTATCTATCTACCTACCTACCTACCTACCTACCTACCTACCTACCTATCTATCTATCTATCTATCTATCTATCTATCTATCTATCTATCTATCTATCTATAATCTATATCTATTTATATCTATCTATCTCTATGTCTATCTGTCTATCTATCTCTATCTATCTCTCTATCTCTATTTATCTCTATGTCTGTCTGTCTGTCTGTCTATCTAATACAGTGGTTCTCAACCTTTTTAATGCCGCGACCCCAACCTGTCGTAAGTCGAGGACTAAACTGGTCATAAGTCGAGGACTAAACCGGTCGTAAGTCGAGGACTACCCAATCGGTCGTAAGTCGAGGACTTTCCCTGCCCTGGAGCGCCGCGCATGCGTGGTTCCGCCCCCTGCGCCAGCCGAGGCGTAGCTGGCAAGTGGCAGAGATGGAGCAGGCCGACCACCAGCTGGTCCATCCCAAGGGAGGTAAGGCACCCGCCGGAAAAGGGGAAAAAAATGGTGGACAAAAAAAATGGCGGACAGCCTTGCTTGGCGACCCCCGTGAAATGGTCGATCGACCCCAAATGGGGTCCCGACCCACAGGTTGAGAACCACTGATCTAATACATCTATCTATCTGTCTGTCTGTCTGTCTGTCTCTATCTACTATCTCTCTCTCTATCTCTATTTATATCTGTCTGTCTGTGTCTGTCTGTCTTTCTAATACATCTCTCCCTCTCTCTCTCTCTCTCTCCCTCCCTCCCTCCCTCCATCCATCCCTCTCAGACTATCACTCCATGGATGACCTAAAGCTAATTTTCTGGCTGTCCCACTTGAATTCACTGTGGAATTTAATTACGCCTTAGCTAACTCTCGGCTCTTTCTAGCTGAAGAAGAATAAATCCTCCTGGATTCCTCCTGGGAAGAGAGACCCTGAGGTCCGGGGAGGCCCTCAACCCAATGCCGAGAAAGGGAGAACAGAAGAGTTGCTGGGAGCCACCTCTCCCTGTTGTGTGGGTGTCGGGCACCCACCTTGTGGCATGCTTCGTCCTCGTCAACCACCCTCGACTTACTTTGCACCTGCAGGAAAGCTCGGGCCACATGCTGCCCGACGCTGTTTCGCACTCGGCACAGGTACTGGGACTCGTCGGCAGGCTCAACCGCAGGGAAGCGCAGGATCCCGCCCTGGATAACGGCCTTGGGGGGTATCACGCCCCCGGGTCCTCCTGCAACAGAGAAAAAAGCTTCCCAGTTGTTTGAAGGGTGGGGAGGCTTCCTATTTTGGGGGGGAGAGGATGCTGGGCCCCCGCATTCTGCCCTGCCTGCAAAATTGAGTCCTGGAACACCCGGGTGAAAACGGCATTGGCCAAGCTAGACACGGAAATGCATCCGTTGGAACAGGGGTCTTCAAGCGTGGACTTCAACTCCCAGAATTCCTCAGCCAGCCCTGAGGAATTCTGGGAATGGAAGTCCACACGTCTGAAAGTTGCCGAGTTTGAAGATCCCTGCTTTAGAAGGACCCCCTCTGAGCAGAGCAGAAAGGCGCTAAATCAACCGCTCTCCTTTTGAACTACAACACTCCCCGAATCTTATTCCACTTGTATTTTGTATCTGTAACTTGTGTTTAAGTTACAGCTCAAGCAGGGGTCCCCAACCCCCCTGGGCTGCGGCCCACTAGCGGGCCTTGAGCTGTTCGGAACTGGGCCACGGCAGCGGTAGGAGAGCCTGTTTGCACACTCATCCTCCCTTGTGGCGATAAGCGGGCGAGCCCTTGCACTGGTGCTCCATTTGCACATGTGTGTGCCCGCCGCGCGTACGCTTGCTTGCCCACCCACTCACATAAACCACCCCCCTCCCCTCAATGGTCTGCAAAGCCAGAAAGATTGAGGAACTCTTGAGTATCACAATATAGAACCGTTACGGGGGAATAATCTGTTTTTGGCTATTCATTTGGACTGTAATTGGAACGGCCAGCAGGACGAGGCAAGAGCAGCTGTGACATTTGGAAATTAATAGGAAATAAGAATGTTATGCTGTATTATTAATTAGCTGATGTGAGATGGTGAGAAATAGAACATATTTAAGTAGGTAAGGCGTGCATTCTGAACATTAGATTTTGTGATGAATTGCGATAAAGGGAATGGTGGTCATTTAAAGCTTTGGAAATTATAAATATTAAA